CCTCTAAATGATATTTTGTACGTGAAGTATAACCCTGTCTGATGACATATCCATCCTTCAGTACCCATTTTCATTCCTAACCAGGTATCTGTGGCAGGGACATGAAGAAGCTCCTAGTGCAGAACTCTCTTAGTGTTTTATATTCTTTAACCAAACCTCCTAGAAAAAGGTAATATAAGAGAAGTATCCAGTCTAACACACAAAAGCTTTGGGAAGCTCCATTCGACTGTTCTTCAGATGATTTCAGTCTTCATGTAACAACAAATCTCTTGCAATTGCTCAACAGAGCGACTGACAGAAGTAAGGAAATTAGGCAGTATGCTTTTTATGTCAATTTGTATGGCACACTGATTCCTTTTTAGCAATTGTGGATGTAAATGTAATAAACACTTCCTTGTAGTGAACTGGTTTTGCTCAGTTTTTTTGCAATTAAAATATTTTGCTTCGCTTTCAATATCTGTTGCATTATGAAATACAATATGAGGGATTTTAATTTATTAGTAAAATAGCAAAAATTGAGACTACAACTATTGGTAGAACTAGCTCCTTATCTCTGCTCTTCAGACTTCAGATATTTCATGTGATTATTTTAGGGCTATAAAACATATATTTTTTGTAAAGATTTTGGGAGCAACTTCAAATTTTGAACAGTTTAGTAGAAATACAGAAAAACAGCTGAAGTATAGCAGTAGGTGTTGAAAGGAGACACCAAGTTATTTGAAGGCTTGAAAAATGTCTTGCAGTGAAAAACTTAAATTAGAATTGGGTAGAAATGCTTTGATGGAATGTTTTCCAGCTGATAGTATCTATTCATCAAATTGAAACTCTGCTGGAAGGGATCAATTTTCATATATCTGGTTTTGAAATGTTTCCAGTAGTTTCAAAGTTGTTAAAACATCCTGTTTCAACATTTTCTAAATGAAAAAAAACCCTACAATTTTCATTTCTAGAAGCCTTCCTCACAAAATGTAGCCTAATTATGCCAACCATTTCTAAACTGAGCTGGGAATATTGCAAATTACCAAAAATTGAATTGCTTCTTTGGTTTTTTTGTGTTTTGCTTGGTTGGTTGGTTGGTTTAGTTTGTTTTTTTGTTTGTTTTTCATTTTGGGGGCAGGGAGTTTAGAGGGGGTGGTGGTTTTTTTTTATTTTATTTTTTATTTTCATTTCTGGTTGCTCATCAACATATTCAAGAGTTCTACTTTTTGTCACTTTGAGAATGGAAAAAAAAATTGGCCAACCTGCCTGAAAATTCAGCTGATTCAATTTATCAAGAAAGTTCCTTCAGTGGGGCATACCTCTCTATCAATAAATTAAATTCACTTTATTAAATTTATTAAATTTATTAAATTCAGCTACAGGGCAGCTTCTCTAAGAAGCTGCTAGAAGTTTGCCCCAGGTCTGATAGAGCCAAGACCAGCCAGCTCCAAGACAAACCCACTGCTGCTCAAGGCTGAGCCCACCAGCAACAGTGGTAGCACCTCTGGGATAACGTTCTTAAGGGAACAAAAATCTGTGCAACAGCAGCTGGAAGAGGGAAAGTGTGTGAGCAGAACAACTCTGCAGACACAGAGGTCAGTGAAGAAGGAGAGGAGGAGGTGCTCCAGACACCAGAGCAGAGATCCCCCTGCAGCCTGTGATGAAGACCATGGTAAGGCAGCTCATGGAGCAGATACTGACCTGCAGCTCCTGCAGATCCCATTCCAAAGCAGGTGACTTCATGAATGGGGCTGTGACCCTGTGGGAAGTCCATGCTGGAGCAGACTCCTGGGAGGGCCTGTGAACCCACAGAGAGAGGGAGGAGCCCATGCTGGAGCAGGTTTGCCGGTAGGACTTGTGAACCCATGGTCAGTCTGCCCCCAAAGTTCTACACCCAGTGGAAGGGACCCACACTGGAGCATTGTGGGAGAGGCTCACGCTGGAGTTTGTGGAGGAATGTCTCATGTGGGAGGGACAGAGAAGAGGAGCAGGGGAAGAATATGATGAGTCCTGCCCTTGAAGGGGAAGGAACAGCAGAGACAATGTGTGATGAACTGACTGTAGCCCCATTCCCTGTCCCCCTGTGCTGCTGACAGGGGGAGGTAGAGAAATCAGGAGTGAAATTGAGCCCAGGAAGAAGTGAGGATCAGGGGAAAGGTGTTCTATGATTTGGTTTTATTTGTCATCATTTTACACTGATTTGATTGTTAATAAATTAATTTCCCCAAGCTGAGTCTTTTTTGCCCGTAACAGTAGTTGCTGAGTGATCTCTCCCTGTCCTTATCCCAACCCACAAGCTTTTCGTTATATTTTCTTTACCCTGTCCATCTGAGGAAGATGATAAAGCAACTCTGGCAGGCGCCTGGCACCCATCAGTCAACCCACCACAGACTGTTCCTGGCACTGAGGTCAATTCACATGCCAGAGCCTCTCTCCAAGCTATTACTGTCTGTCATCTGCTGAAACAGAAGGACCACATCCAGATCACCTACTAAGAATGATCATTGTCCTGTTCTAACACCTGATCCATGGTTAGGAATTGGCTGGGAGGGTATAAACCAGCCCACTTTAAAGCCATTCCAGGCAATGATAGGCAAGCGAGTTTTGATTCCTGAGTTTGTTTCCTGGCACAGTTTATTTTTTGCATTTCATATAGGCATGTCTCATGAACCGTAGCATATCTTTTAATCTCTCATGCAAACACATGAAAGATGCAATGGCTGTAAATTAGAACTACAAAAATACAAATCAGAAATACAAATTTGCAACAAAGTGATTAACCTTTGAAAGAAGCTGTAAACTCAGTATCTATTAATTTGACATGTCAAGACAGGACAGTCTCCTGCAGAACATGCACAAGGCAAGTAAAAGTGGGCTCTGGAAAAAATATCAGGGTAAATACTGGATTGACCAAATAGATCACTAATCCCTACTGGGTATAAATTACCTAGAAAGATCATATGTAAAAGTATCATTTGCTTCTTGTGTTACATTATTATTTGATATAATTACATATCCATTCATTTTACGGAAGGAAGCGTCTTCCAAAATTTGCTATATGAATTTCTCACTAAGCTGACGTACTTATTCCAAGGGCTATGTTTGACATTTACCTGCAGGTAGAAAAGGGGGGCACCTTTCTCGGGGCTGGCAGGAAATAATCAAGGAGACATAACTCTGTTCAGGGCAGGGTAAACTCCTTAAATCCAGGAGCACATCTGCAATTACCCAATGACACTGACCAGGACAAAAGGTGAAGTAAGTCTGAACAGAACTGTATCTTTCAAATCTCCAGACTTCAACATTTGCTTTTGCTTTTCTCATGCATTTTCATGATGAATGGGCCTTAAGTTCAGTATTTGTTACTGAGATGTACCTGGATATTATGCATTAATAAAGAAAACATTCCCAGATTTTCTACTTCATCTTTCTAGCCTTCACCTTTCTATTTGCATCTTTCTACTTCATCTCTCTATCTTTGCTCTCAAAGGGATTGGTGAGGTTTATGCTGTCTCGTGGACCCAATACATACTGCTTTTCTTCCTGTGAAAATCTAGGAAAAGTATGCTCAAACCCTCTTTGCACTTTTCCTACTGAGTCGGTTTAGTGGCCTGTAGCCTGGAGTTATGGATACAAAATATTAGCTGTTAAACTGTCAAAACTTGTTGTAACAAGCAGAAGCAGTCATTACTTGAGGGATATTTAAGCACGATTTAGTGAATACTTTTAAAGCTTACAAATGGCTCTTTTGAAAAGGAAAGGGATTTTTTAGTTATAGTATTACATGAAACTGGAAAAATCAAACTGAAACATGTCACATAGAATAAAACTCCTAATTAGGGCTCAACTGGCAGTGCTGGTGATCCACCATCCCCTAAAATACAAGTGTGTTCACAGAATTTTGTTGTTACGAAATCTGTTCTATTTTTGGCCGGACTATTGGATATCATAAGCAATTGTGTCAAGCAGAAGTCGAATACAGGGCAGAAGGGGTAGCTCAATGTACAGTATGATCTCTGTACAACTCAGGGCATCTGAATAGTGTTCTGTGAAGCCAGTTGCATTTTCATAGCAGAATTTTACATTCAGATGTATATGTGCTGTCTTGGTTTAAAGCAGCCTTGATCTAGAGTTGAAGATTTAACCCTAGAAATTTCTTATTTGTGACAGACTTTATCCTGTCCCTGTTTACACCACTTAAATGTTGGGGGTTCAAATGTTACTGAAGCAGTTGGCATAGAGAGTCAAAAGTTTGGCGAGTCCTGAAGAAATCTGTGTATCAGCCTGGCAGTTTAGATCTGGTCTGTCCTCGTGTGCACTGATATAAAATGTTGAAGGCGATTTAACTTTTTCATCAAGATGTGTTCTTGCTGTTCTAAATATGTGTTCTAAAGGATTAAGCATCCATAACCCCTCACTGAAATCAAAGTTGTTGATGTTTTCGGGAACTATCTGTCCTCCACCCAAAGTCAGTAAGCAAAGAGATGTATACACTGCTTATAAGGAGAAGGCTGTTCATATAGGTGCTTATTATTAAATTTGGAAATCAAACTCTGGGAACAGAATCTCATGTGTTTGCTTTAAATCTTAGTGAGGACATTTGTTGTTTAATAACTTTGCTTTAGCCTTGGGCTATATTTCTTTTACCTACTGATTTCTAAATCCTTTGGCAACAACAGCCAGGAGTTTTGGGGATTGTTTCAGTAGTCTCGTACTTCCTGAGAAGTATGTCTGAGTGCGTGTCTAGATACTGGCCCTTGGTCTGAACAACAATTAATTGAGGGTTTGTGAAGGAGATATTAGAAAATAATAACATATTTAAGTACAGGCTTAGATAGCCAGAAGGAAAAACAAAACAAAATAAAACAAACAAACAAACAAAACAACCTGAAATGGACTTTAAAGCTCTATGCAAAAATAACAATGAAAATGCTTTTATCCACTTGCCTGGGTAATTTTTAACTATATTTTTCTCTTTGTGTTTGTCTGTCATGATGATTTTTGTTTCTAATTCTTTGCAGATGTCTCAGTCAGTCTGTTAGCGGTAGTTGTCAGCTTCTGTGGGCTTGCCCTGCTGGTAGTCTCACTTTTTGTCTTTTGGAAGTTGTGTTGGCCCTGCTGGAGGAGCAAACCTCTCAATTCCAATGCCAGTAATGTCCCACAGAGCAACTCTAGTGCTCCTACGGAGGTTTTGGAGACCAGCGAGAAAAAGGAAGTTAAAGAAAATGGGAAACCTACAACAAAGGTACTTGAAGCTGCACTGAAAATTAGCCACACTTCACCAGATATACCAGCAGAGGTCCAGAACGCACTGAAAGAGCATCTGATCAGACATGCTCGCATGCAGAGGCAGATCACTGAGCCCACGTCGTCATCAAGGTAAGTCAGAGGCACTCAAGTTTGTGGCACCTTTCCCATGAACAGGTAGACCAGGAATGCTCTGCTGTAAATTTCCTGGATCCTTTAAATCCTGATTCACAGGTTTCTTCACAGTTATGGGTGAAACAGTAGTCACATGAAGGCAAAGCCTCACTGTTCTTTGAACAGAATGTTCTGAAGCATGCAGTGTACCTTCACTTACACTACTATGTAAATACATATGTTGCTACTTTAATCATTTCCCTTTTGGGTTTTGATTGTAGGAAGACTTACTTCAAGGTTATTTTTTAAAGTACTGCAACATCTTTTGACAGAGGTGTTTATATAGATATATTTACTGCTTTTGCAGAAGAAACTTTCCCTCTCCTATAAATAAATTATAGATTAACTGCTGATGGCACATTTCTTTAAGACATGGTTTGCCAATTTTGGTGTCTATTATAGTGGAATTAAAACCCCAGTCTAAGTATATAGGTCCTTATTGACAGATCTTAAAACAATACAGATTCTGTATAGGTCTTTAAATAAAATACATGCATGCAGCATTCCTGAAATGGTTTCTTTGATATTAAAGTGGAGGAAACAAACTTTTAGTTTGTATTAGGTAGTAGTAAAGTAGTGAAGATGTGCAGGGACCTATAGTTTCAAATGGGATTTTCTTCAAATACTGTCAGCAGATTTAATGCATGGAAAACAAACAGTGAACTGCAAAGATCACTTTCTAAATTGATAAAGGAAACGTTTGACAAATGAATGGAGAAATTAAGGCCAAAGAAGGCACCTGAAGTACTGTGTAATGCCATAAGTTAGAATACTATGTAGGAAGTAGCTTTCTCTCAATAAACCATTTGCTAAGGAAAAACATTGTTACCAAAACAAAACAAAAAACAAACAAACAAACAAAACCAAAAAAAAAAGCAAAAAAAAAAGAGGCCTATGTTCACAGGAATCATTAGAGGCACGAGATTGCAGAAGATACATGCTTTACTTTTAGTGGCACATACTGTGCTGGCCTTCTGTGAGCCCTTAAGATAGTGTTTTGCCAGTTGAGTGTTCTCATTTTGGTGGTGAGTGATCAAGTGCTTTTTCCCAGCTATCCCAACATCATGAAACAGCCAACAGGCAGCCACAGGAGGCTCCCAAAAATGAGAGCACTCCAGCCAGGGGAGGTCTGACTGACTTCAGCAGCTGAATCATCTCCTGAATTATAAGACTGTACAGATGGCTTTAAGCCACATTGCCCTGGCTATGCCTGGCTCCAGCTACTGTATCTGTCTGCTCAGAGAGGGAGCACAGCATCCAAGTTGTTCTAAGGAACATTTCCCACAATACTGGGTTGATAATTTTGAAATTGTAACTGTTACAGTAAACACAGAGGGACCAAAATTGGTACAGTTTAGTGTGACAAGGCTGTTACTCAACTCACTATTACCTAACTGGATACTAATTGGAGGAGTTTTATCCATCATTTACCAACAGGTAAATCCAGGTAATCAGACTGTCTGACTTCCTGAATAGATAGAAGAAATTGCTGGCTGGCAAAGGATTTGAGTAGTCCCTGTGGTACTGTAGGAGAAGAAAGAAGTTTCAGAAACATAATCTAGACCTGCTTCAGGCTGTGAAAATATTCTTACAGACCTCTAGAGTGATTTGGACTGGGATCTAAATGCCTATAAAATATCTCTGACACTAAGGACAGTTTTACAAAAGTAAAACCTGCTATCAATCCTATTCTTTCTGCATATGTTGGTAACCTTGTAAGGGAGTTTTCTTTTTATGCTGTCTGGATTATGAGGGTTAAATCTCTACTGAAAGGGACAGTTCCTTTGCTTTGAGTAAACCTGATTTTTACACCATAGCCAGTTAATAGCAGGGTGTTTGGATATATATATCTTACATATATATTTATATTATATATATTTTATATATTATATTAGAATATTTTATTATGTTAATTTAATAATATTTTATTAATATATTAATATTATATTATAATATTTTATATAATATATATTTGTATATATATATCTTATATATATATATATAAGATATACCTTCGTTTACAGTTTGCTGAAAAACTCTACACCCTCACCACAAAAAATGTTTAGAATTAGATTTGTCTTAAAAGTTACCCAGAAATAGTAATCTCTGTGTTTGTAAATGCATTTTATCTATACTGCTGCCTGCCTTAAGGGAGTCTTAACTTTCTGACAGCTCATATTAATTATTGCTGCCAAGAATATCATGTATGAGAAGAAGGCTGGACATTTAGGCCAGCTTTCTGCATTATTCCTGATTGTGATTTAGCCCCAGCTGGCAACTGTGTACCAGCAAAATGTCTAAAACTTGGCTTTGGTGTTCTTCATTGGGGACTTCTAAATATAGGGGAGCTGTTCGCAGAGGCAGAGGTAACACAACTTCTCTTGCACCATCTTCAGTGCAGCACTGCTTCCTTGTCCTCAGGAGTCCTGAGTGATTCAAATGCATTCCCTTGACAAAGGATCAAAGAGAAATGTTTGCTGTCTGGATTGTCTTCTCTACACTGATCTCACCTGAGCTGGGGCAAATAAAACGCTTGTAACCAGTTTTATGATAGGTTCAAACAGCCATCAACTTCTTAGTTAAAAAAATAAAATCATATTAAGTCGTTGTAATTGAGCACAAAGATTTTAATAAACCACTGAGAGCAACAATAAAATGCACCTGATCACAATTTTTAGACTGTGAATTTAACATAGAGACATGTTAATGTAGCAAAATGATACATTTCTGCTTGGATAGAATTCTATCCTTTTTATACTTCCCGATAATATGAAAATACCTTCTTGTTAAAAACTCTTTAGTCCTTGATCCCAATTGACCAGTATACTGTGATAGAAGAACTGCAGCAGTGGTGTTCATTTACAACACTGCCTTTGGTGTTTATTTCTTCTATGTGTTATTGTGCACCACTATTTCCAGTACTTTGTGAAACTATTCTCTAACACAGTTTATTGCTGCTTCAAAGGTTCAGCTGTATTTTCAAAGAACACACTTTTGGCTCTCTAGCATTGGCATGGCATGTTGAGTCAGTCAGTTCCCAAGAGGCACAAGGACAAAAGGCCTGGGAATGTTAAGGTTAAAGAAAAAAGAACATATTTGTTGACTTTAGTGTTAGCAAGGAGGAGACAATAGTCTCTGTTCTGTCTAAATACCACAAGTGACATGCTCTTTCCTGGATTTGGTCCAAAAGATTGCTCTGATGCCATCTAGGAAAGCTAGACCAGTGTCACCCCTCATAAAGCTCAAGTCATGTCATAAATCAGCATCCTATCCCTCTCTTTTTTCGTACAAACGGCATCTTACTGAGCTAGAAATCAGCTTCACACTATCAATCACTACTCCTATACAAGGACAGTTTTATATTAGAGATTGACATACAGATTTATTGTCACTCAAAATACATCTATTCTATGCTATGGAAGGCAAGTCTATTATAGGAGTCAGTAGAGGTTAGGTACTTGGATTTGCACATTAGAAGCTTTGCCACATTTTCACAACCTGGTTGTCTGACATCCTTGTACTTCATTATCACAGTCATTAATCCCTTTGTTATTGCAGAACAAAGGAAGATAAATATGTTGCCATGGCAACAATGAAACATCTTAATAATTAACAGACCAATTAGCTGTCTTGGTGAAATGCTGTGACTCAGAACAGATACTTGGCACTATGTAATTAGGGCTATGGCTTACTAGAGCAAAAGTGGTGCTGGTTCCCACAGGGTGCAGCCATACAGCTGCACCCTTTTACTTAGTGACATCTTGCAACAACTACATTCACTAGAGGATCTGGTGTGCCTAAAGCTTAAAAATTTGAAAGATTGATACCTTCGATATCATAAATTTGGTGTCTTATATATTACTTTTACACGCTGTAAGCCAGATCTTCATAAATGCAAGAGAAGTTGAAGAAAAGGGAATTTGTCATCTACCCGTTTTCACTCAAGATGGAAATGTCATACAATCAGCTTCACTATTTCCCCTGTAGATCCACTACTTATGTACATCAGTTTTAAACATGATACTCCTATGGCAGAGGGATTGGGATCTTTAAGGTCCCTTCCCACTCAAACTACAAGTATTGGGGATCTCAGTACCGCAGCTGCAGGTATGAGGAGCACTCAGGAAGGCCTACCTGCACAAGTATCCTTAGCAGCGATAAAAGCAGCAGTAACACAGGTCTTCCTGGACCTCATTATGAGTCAAAGATGCAAGAGAGATGGTGCCTGAATTGCTGCCTGCCCAAACATTTATTGCACTTCGTTTTGGGTGGAGCTCAGTTCCTTCTCTGTTTGGCAGACCTATGAGTTTGGACTCTCAGAGGACGAAGACTGTGAAACTCCCTGGGGACAATATTGCACTTTTCTGACTAACTGGGGCCTTTTCATTCCTCATTCCATTCCAATGTAGACATCATCTACTATGAATTCAGGGAGTTCTAACATTTAGGAAAAAAGGAAATCTTTCAACTTGTCTGTCTGTGAAGAAAGAAAGGCAGAATGTGTTGCAAGAGGGTTGTATAGTTCATCTAAATTTGAGATCACACCTGGATTTTTTGGAGCTACTTCAAATCTAGACTATGAAGTTCTCCCTCCTCTGTTCTTGTGTTGTGCTAGGACTGCTCCCAGCACCTAGTAGTACTGAAACAGCTGAAAGGGGAAATGTTCTTGTCTATTATTTAAGAGCTGCAGATTACCCTCTTGTATCTCTGCTCAGCAGAACTGCCGTAGTTTTGTGCCTCATGCCTTCTGCAACCCCTTCACTTACAGCAAAAATACAAATAACATCTATGAAATGACTCCTGGTTGCTTTCAAATGGACAATTTGCATTTCTGATTTAAAGAAAGAAACACACAGCTGTGACACCTCTTGTTTTCAGAACACAGCACCACAGGGAAACCAAGCAATAAGGCAAGGCTACATTTGGCGTTAATAAGCAATTGATTGCAAAAAGCAGAGGAAATTCTGACAATCGGATTGCTCTGTAATGGCAACTAAGTGTGCTCACAGGAGGATGTAGTGAGCTTTTGCAGCGCTGATTGCTGGGGTAGTGAACTGGCAAGAAAATGTGAAAATGTCTAGAACATAAACTGGATAGTGTAGTTGTAGTAGAATCTGCTGCTGATAAATACTGTGAAGCTTTTTGACCAGTGTTTTTATATTACTGTAAGGCTGTATGGTATGCCAGGGGTTTGATTTCAGTCATAGTAGGAATGGCACAGATTTCCATTTATGTTCATGAGCCCATAAATACATATGCTTATGCAACACTGTATTCAGAATTACAAGGATTTTACCATTGTATGTTAGTACAGGGATCAGCTTTCAATACACTGCACAGCAGACAGTGGGAACAGAAGGCAAAAAAAAAGCTGTCACAGAAAAATATTGACCAAAACTTTGAAATGTACTGCAGCTAGAACAAAATCCAGAAGGATTGGAGAAGGCAGACTGTACTTCAGTGTAGCAAATACCAAGCAGGTGTATATAAAATGTTGTAGGATGGCAAGACACTGTGGTGAAAAGCTCTAGACATAGCTGTCCCTCTCAGACGTCTTTCACAGTCATTGCTTTGAAGCTTGGTAAATATTTAATTGGAAAACCACCATGGAATGCCTCCAAAAACCAGGGAGTACTGATGACAATTCTGCAAGTGCTTTTTTTTTTTTTTCCTGCCTGACTGTACTTTACTTGGGCCCTAGCACAGTGGGATCAAGCAATGCTGGAACTGTCAACTTGTTCTGTGAAAGAGCATGAATTCAGTTTCAGCTGCATAGTCTGAAAGCAAGATTATAAATATATGTATTTCCAAGACACTGAGTGTCTCTCAGGTCAGGAAATTAATTCTGAATGCTTATTTCTCTCAAGAAAAAAACAAAGATGTTTTAACACTTGCAAAAAATTGATGGGGGATTATTTTAAAATAATATTTAAGATAGGAACTCGTATTAATATGGTATTCTTGTATTTTCTGTTTAGCAATGGTCTTTCCTCAGAGATAACCATGGCTTGTTTTGTGTGTGTGTGTATGTGTGTATGTGTGTGCAGGCACAATTCTTTCAGGAGGCACTTGCCGAGGCAGATGCAAGTGTCCAGTGTTGATTTTAACATGGGGATGGATCCGATTTTGCAACGGGGAGAGACGACAACCAGCATTGGGAGAATAAAACCAGAACTCTACAAACAGAAGTCTGTGGATTCTGACGGGCAACAAGAAGATGTGAAAACATGTGGAAAACTTAACTTCACTCTCCGGTATGATTATGAAAATGAACTTCTGGCTGTCACAATTGTCAAAGCCTTAGATCTGCCAGCTAAAGACTTCACAGGAACATCCGACCCCTACGTTAAGATTTATCTGCTTCCAGATAGGAAAAAGAAGTTTCAGACACGAGTTCACAGAAAGACATTAAATCCTGTCTTTGATGAAACCTTTCAGTTTCCTGTAGCCTATGATCAACTCAGCAACAGGAAATTGCATTTCAGTGTTTATGATTTTGACAGATTTTCTAGACATGACATGATTGGGGAAGTTATTCTTGATAACCTTTTTGAAGTCTCAGATCTCTCCAGGGAAGCCAATGTATGGAAAGACATCCACTGTGCCACCACAGTAAGTAGTGTGTTCCAAAAGCATTGATATGATATTTTCATTTCTCTTTTGTAGTTTGTGGCAGTGTATCCTGTTTATCAGCAGAGTGTAGAATAAAGAAAAAAAAAATTTACAAAAAGTTGCCAATATTTTCTTTTGAGCACAGAAAATTAAGATACTTGGGAAGCTATAAAATTTAATTACTAAAAAATCTTCTGGGAACATACTGTCATCTTTATGTCTCACTGTGTATATATAAATTACGTTTATTAATTAAATACTACATCATGAAAGTCACTACCTAGGAAGAACTATTAACATTCTCCTGTTAGCAAAACACCCGGTCCTGCAAAATGACTACCTATTAAGGAAAAGGACCCATCCTATCCTGCTCTCGTTAGCAGATTTTCAATAGGTTAGGTGTCTCGGGAAGAAAGAGGCTAAAAGTGCTTTAAGTCTAAAATGTTCTTTGCTGACTGCCCTGTGCTTAGGGTCCTCAGTAGACGTAAATGCGTTGCTGCTGGTTACTTGCAAAACTCAAGAGACACAAGCAAGTAGAATTAGGAAATAGAAATTAATTTGTTTACTGTTTCAAGCAAGAAAAGGAGGCCTGTGTACGGATGAAAGTATGGATGGCACGCTACCAGAGAGAAAAACAACAATCTCCAAATGTTGTCTTTATTAACCTTGAAATCCAAACTCATCCTCCCTAACTGGAATTTGAAGGACAAGAAAAGGCATTTAAAATGTTGAGATGTAGGATGTTTGTTTTGGTCTTGGTTTCTTTTTAACTGTGCTATTTATATAGAAGTTTCCTCATCCCTTGCTCTGTAGGTAAACAGTCTTACTCTTGATTGTTTGAGCACAAGCTAGACTTCCATATGAACAGAGGGCAGACCAGTACTAGACATTGCTCCAGAGACAGGAGCTTCACACCATCCCTTCATTAGAGCTGGACACTCCACATGCCTTTTTTACCAAATGTTTTTGTGATGTTAGTATCTGCTAGATAGTGAAGTCTAGGTCTGCATAGTTAGAAAGACAAAGAGGACTGAGCATTAGCCCTACGTTTCTTAAGAAAGGGGAAACACTGGGGAGTGTAGCATAGTGGAGACAGTTTTTGAATGTGAATTCACAGCAGCAGCTATTTATTTTAATTGCTGAGTCTACCAAACTGGTCTGAACAGCCTTAAGCACACCTCCAGAAAACCGAATCTGTGTATGCTTACTTTGATCTAGGTCAGATTTCAGGTAAATTTAAGAATTGTGTTCTCAAGCTTAAAACTGAATCTGTGTTTAAGGTCTTGGAATAACATAGTCCAGTAACTATTTTTTAAAATTTATTCTAGTTTTGATATTATCTTTAATACTTTAGTAATGACTTAAATGCTCACTGGCCCTTTGCAGCAGGCATCTGTGTGAGATGTTTTAGCTGATAACTAGAATAGTTTCATAAAATTAGAATCTCTGGACTGTTCATCACTGGTTTTGAGCAGATTGAAATGCCATACCAAATTATGGAGTTGGGATAGATACTAATATACATCTGGATGAAAAGGATTGCTAAACTTGGCACTGAATACTAATTCAAATTTCTTCCTTGTTAAGTGTTAATGCATGAAGTTATAGTACCTAATTCATTCTACTGGTGTTTTGATCTGTATGAAACTTAAAAGAAAGCATGAAGTTCTTGGATTTCAGCCTTTCAGCCAGTATAGTTTACAGTACTGCACATGAATGAAAAAGTTATCTCTATTTAAACCATTAACAATAAGCATATAAAATTGAGATATCTTCTAGTATTGGGTGACCTCATTAGCTTTCATAAGCCCTTCTCTATTCTCAGAAAATTATGTAAGAAACTGATTGAATTGATTTTTTCCTGAAAAATTAAACCCTCCTATAAGATGTCCTGTTCCTATATGTGCAGTGTGCTGCCCTGTGTTTCACTTGGGCTGTTTCATGTAGATTAAAATTGGCTAATAATACAGGTTTTTAGTTCTGGCATTTCAAAAAGTGTAAGCTGAGAGATCCAAACCTGCATAGGAATAAACACTGCATGAGATGTTAATCAGTGGGGACTTACAGTCTTAGGCACCAGATCTAAAGTTTATAAAAGTCATTAACTAGCAATTAAATAACTAATTAATGCTTGACAGAGTCAACTGAACTTTGATTAAGCATTGAAAAAGCAATATGCAGCTACTTTTACAATTGGTGAAAAAAACCTCTACTGCAAACAAACATGCTTTGATGTTCATAAAGAACCTTTGAAAATCAAACAGGCTGTCTCAGTGGAAAAGGCCATACTTACACAGCAGAGCCCAGGAACCAAGATACCATACTGCAAATATATTTCTCTCACGCATTTTTGTTCCTCACCTTCGCTCTGTTTTGTTGTGTGTTCTGTGAAGTTTTTCGTCCCTTTGCTTAGACATGTTACCTGCACCCAGTGATCTGCTCATGCTGTTGCTAAATGATAGATGGTGGAAAATAGATAGAAGTGATAGATCAAAGCATTAGTCCAAAACCTAAAGGACACAGCAGAAGTAGCTGGGCTGAGCTATGAGTCTTTTACACCTCTTCCATAGTCAAGAATTTTCTATTCAGAAAATTCTATTACCTGCTTGAAAGGAACCTATTTTTATGACACAAGGCTGCAGTCTTGAACACTGCTAGAGAGATTTACAAAGAAAATTAGTTGCAACATTTTACCAGTGAAGGAAATTAATGCAGGAAATCAGGAGATTCTTGGTTATGCAAAGACTCCTTTTCAGTAGCTAACATAATTTTTAAAAGGTTTACTTGCATATACATAAAAAGTTTTTATTTGGTGCAGGAAATACAGTCTGGGAAAGACCAGACTAGACGGTTGCACTGAGTCCTTTTTGTGGTAAAACCAATGACTCTGTGGGAATCTACAGTTTTAATACATTTTTTTGCTCATAGTATAATTTGAAACTATTCTATAGAAGTTCAGAATGGGGCATACACACTCATTTTTATTAGTTTGGTTTTCAACTGCTGATATGTATTCAAATAAATTTGTTGTGTTGAAAACCTATAGCATTGCATAATATATAGCATGTACCTGTTGTAAACATTAAGGTATTTTCATTTCTTCATGATAGGTTATCAAGATAAATTTGGTGTAAAATCAGTTGTGGAAGAGATGTATCCTAAATATCTGATGATATTAATATCTCCAAATTTTGCTGATACATGGATGATTGAATTTTTAATAAGTACGCCATATTGCTTCTGTTCACTCAATTAATTAAAAAAAAAAAAAGAAAAAAACAAGAGGCAACTTGGGACCACCTGTGAAGGTTGTTCAGTATATTAGAATATCATAATTCTTAATATGCTTTAGGAAATTAATTCATAACATCAGAGGCAAACAAATAATATCAAATGGATTGTTTAATCGACATATTTTTTTGAATTGCTTGTAAATTCTCCATACATTTATGAGGTTTTGTTACTATCAAAAATATACCCGCATACTCTAAAGAAGACTCATTTACTGGAATTACTAACAAGCACTTAACTCCTAATACTCAGTGTCTTAAAATTGTCTAGGCAAAACGTCCACCTCTTGTGATCCAATAATTTCTGAATTTATTAACTTTCTATCATACTTTTAAAAACAATTGATTGCTTTGGAAATCTCTGCTTCTAATGTCATTGTCTAAAAAAATTGTCAAGTGACTGTCAGAAACACTTTTTTTTGAAGGTATTCTGTGGAGTCTGTTAGAGTAACCAATTATAGGAAACTATGCAATTGGGGGAAAAAAATAGAGCTCAGAATTTAGATAAAAGCCATTTCCAGCACAGTGGCGGTCTCCTGGGGATCTTAGCCATCAAAATGTCATATACTTGTAGCCTCTTGAATTATCTCATGTAGACAGATGGAACTTGATTATTATTTAGTTCTCCACACCAGGCATTTCAGTGCTGCGGTTTTCTCATTTGTGAAGTGGAATGTAAAAGAAGGTTTTGTAAGGACATAGTCTTCATGTGATGTCCATGGTGTATGATTGCTGTTGCTAAAGCAATTGAAATGTAAGTGGTGTCACTGGGAAAGATAGAAGTGCTTAAATATTTTTTTTTTTTTACATTTGTCTCAGTTCATTTATGTTGAACACTGGCCAGAGTAAGATATCACACAGGCAATCCTACTGGTTGTTGGCTTCTGTTATGGAAAGAGATTCTTCTGCCTTCCTTTTAAAACAAGAATGAAGCCCATCTCTGAAGTTCACCCAGAGCAATTGCAGGCACTGTATTTTCTTAGTTTTCTCCATGGTCTGCTGCTTTGTAAATGGACAAAAAGGTGGTACTAGTGGTAGAAAGCTGACAAAGATATACTATTAGCGTTTCTGGAAATGCACCTAAAAACTACTGGAATGTTAAACAGGTGTGAAAGAGTGAAGGCATGTCAGTGTAGAAACATTTATCATCTCTACAATGTGAACAGCCCCTTCTAAGCCAAGAATTGTTCTGCTCGGGGCCAGTGATAAAAAGGATACACATGACCAGTGCTGCTGCTGAGCAGTTGAGAAAATACTCTAGATCAGTCCTAAGAGGAAACATTTTGAGGTTTTTCATTTACGTTTGGGACTGCTTAAGGTGTGGGTGATAACTAGAAAAAGCAATGGAGAAAGGGGATGTTTCCATCCAGTTACTGAAGGCAGGGAAGGTTACTGTTATTATTCAGTGTTTCTTTTCATTGGAAATGACATATTATTTGAATATTCTGATTTGCTAGAGGCAAACTACTACTTTCAGTCTACCTTCAAAGTAATAAATACTAAATAAACAAAGAACGTGGTTTCCTCAAAGGATTTTAATATCTCTGCATCCAGACAGTACTGCGGCAGCTATGCTAAGGTACATGGCTTGTCTGGCCTGCTGTGCCCTAAGTGCTTTCTGAGTTTCTCAGTGCAAATAATCTCTTTGCAGAGGATGCATTGTGGCTTCAGAAGAGCATCCTTATATGGGAAACCATATACAATTTGGTT